GTTGCGCAACTGAGACTCGTCTCCTATATCTCGATTAGTGGGTCTATCGAACGGGTAGGCATTCTCTCCTGGAAAATAATAACAAAACCAGGAAACATCAGAACCACATGTCGACACGATTTTGAGGCCAGTCTCATCCAAATCTTCTAGCAGTTCTAAGAAGAGATCACTTTCTTCCTGAACGCTGGGCTGAAGTCTGTCTGGCAAATGATTCTGGATACTCAATCTCCAATCTGCAGTTTTCGAAAGTTCAGTCATGATTTGTACATACGAAGGTCCCAAATGTACAATTCGTCCCACCAAACGAGCCGGAACTTTCAACACTGTAGGATTGCTAACTCCGAGATGTTGTTCAAGGCTTGACTTTTGAGGTATTTTCAAAAAGACGTCATCCGCAATTTCGTTCATTGTCGTTATATTAGGGCCGCCAAGAGAGTCCCGAACCAATTTACCAAACTTCAAAATATCACTCTGGTCAACTCGAGTATCGGAATTTCTAAAAATTACTGTATCCTTCCAGACTTCGTAGAGGGATTTTCGATAATCCATAGGGAATCCAGCATAGCAATCTGTAGCCAAACCAACCAGTCCATATACTTTATCTCTTGGCTCTTTGCACAAAGCTTGACGATGGTTTGCCATTAGGTTTTGCAGCTTATGAGCACCATCATATTTGTTTCGTAATTGATAATAAAGGTTCCATGGAACCGTCTGAGATAATGCGTTTTCTTCCATTGTTTCTTGCGTGATCCATGCGGGGTATGGCCAGTCAAGAGTGATGGTTTCCACAAATCGTTGCCAGTCTATTAGTTCTTGTCCAAAAAAGATGATGAGTTTTCTGGCTTTTCCAATCTCTTGGATAATCCAAAGTCGCTTCCAATATTCATTTGAGCATACGACCATTAAGTAGTTGAATAATGATCGTTGATCTTTATATTGTTGAGTATGTCCTGATAGCTCAAACGGCGATATCTTCTCTGGGTCTGGCCAAGCTGTTGGAGGCGATGTATTCTCATCGTTTCTTAACCAAATTATCACAAGTTTGGCACGCTCATAGATATAAGGCATGATAGTCAATTGACGATTTCGCTCCGCAACATCGTCTTGATTGATACAGATCGCATCGACCCAGAGAACGTATTCTGTAGCACTTTGCTGCTGCAAGCAGATAAGTGCCTTGTATAAATTTTCTGTTACAAGAAAATACCGGTCTTCAATAACAATGGGTTTTTGATTAGCTTCATTTCCCCATGTATAGGAAACAGCATTGTACTTTGGACGTCCCCCGAAATTTACATGTTTAAGAGAGCAACGAGGTTGCTGGGTAGAACTACCAGGCAATAAATGCAGAAGCTATAAACTCCTCATTAGCAATCATGATCCCGAAGGTTTTGGTCAACCACTTACTCGAGTTCCATCTACGAGAGGGTCAAGGGGTTTGTAAGAAAATCGCTTCATTGTAATGGAAAGTAGAGTAATGAAACACAAAGGATGCTGACGGAAGAAAAGTAATGTAAAAGCAGTCGTCTTCCGTTCAAAAGAAGGCTGACACTTGTGTTGCGCAGATTAGGCACCGGGATCGATTCCGCCAAGCATGGGTGCATTAGGATATTGACCAATGAGCGATGCAGGCATGAATTCTAAATTGACCTGTCGTCTATCCTTCCACAAAGTATCACCAGTAATCCAAAGTATTTTGACCATTTGGGATATCGTAATAGTTCGCCATGAACGCCATATTTCCTGTTTTTGATTCCATTACTCTTCATCCTCTTCTTCGCCCTCTTCTCCTTCCTCCTCAATAGGGGCCCTTCTCCTTTGCGAGGAAGCACCACTTCTCCGCTTCTCTCTCAAGTTATCTTCTGTTGATGTGACCGCTTTCTCTCCAACGTAATGCTTTCCATCCCACTCTGTTTCGCATTTCGGACACTTCTGATTAGGACGTGATCTAAAATACGCAGGTTGACAGATCTTGTGTAGTCGCACATTGCAATCTCTCCTCGAACACCTCATGCCAACCGTAACGATTCCTTTACATGCTTCACAATTTTTTATGCGCTGCCACTCATCCGGATCGTCCGAGTCGTTATATGTATCGACAAGCCAGCTTCGAAGCTCTAGAATTGCGCGGGGTGACAGAGAATAATATCCTCGATCGCTTCGTTCGAACCACCCTTGCGCTACCAGACCTTCCAACACCTTCTCGGCTTCTACTTTCCTTACACCGTTATCTATTGTCTGCATGTCGGCGTCACCTATGCTCTGTCGACCGGAACCTCCAATAACTGATGAATGTATAGCCTGTGTACTGGTTATAGCCATGACCTCCTTTCCCTTGGTATTGTATGATTCAAACATAGCATCCAACAACCGCTTGATATAGAACATTTCCTCTGTTGTAAAAGTGGTCGCAATCTGAGTGAGGGGATCGCTGGTACTGTTGACAAGAGCCCAGATTTGTTCATTTGTTCGCTGATGCCTCATGCTTCTAATCTCGTAATCGAACGGCGAGAGAGCTTCAGCCGCTTTGGATATGTAGGAGTTCAAGTCATCCTTTGTGACATCATCTGCTGAAGTAACTCTTCCATCTATATGATAAATGTCAGTTTGAGAGGAAGAAAGATTAAAGAGAGTCTCTAATCACCATCTTGAACTGTGAAAATATGGGCAAGTAAAGCTTTGCCTTCTTCTAGATTCAATGTGCCACGCGCTAATAATGCTTGAAGAAACGCGCGGTTAGTATCATCGTATTGTTCCGGAGCGTTCTCCATGATTGATTCTTTTTGTAGATTTGCTTGCAATATTCTACGTCGTGGGATCAATTGTGATGTGATAGGGATAAAGATACCCTGTGCGGTGTGACGCGTTTGTGGTCGCGGAATAATTTTAGCGTGTTCAGCGTGTTTTTCTTCGGGGATTCGGGGCCCAAGCTCCCAGCAACAATTGTGTTTGTTTCTGGTATCAAATCACTCAATGCTCATCACCTTTTCCTAATCCTTTTTCACTCAGTTCATTGGGCTATATGGTTCATGCAGATTTCAGACTCGTTCTCTATCGAACATCTGCCACATTGTCAGTGAAACAAGCTCGGGTCTCAAGGAGGCTTTTCTCCTTTACATTCTCATGGCCGATCCATCTTCAACGAATAAGAAGATCAAAGTATAGTTTAAATGGCAGGCTTCGTTTACTTCAAAAATCCCCATGAGTTAGTCGTGCAATGTCTCAATCCAGCATATCTAGTTTAGAGTTTGATAGTATGGTTGATACCGGACTGTCATTTGGTCCAGGAGTTCATACTCAGTCTTTGAGACAGAGGTTCCTCAAGGCACACGTGTTACCAAGAGGGCAAGTAGCCTGTTTACGATTCTTGGTATAGTTATTGGGGTGCCGTTGCGATCTGTTAAACATTGAGAGACCAACTACGAATCACATTGTTCCATGCCCTCTGCTTGTCAAAACATGTTTCACGTGTGGATTTGCATTTCATGGAACAAGTCAAAAGCGCTTATCGGATTCTGTTTTGAGACGGTTTGTGCTGCGCTGCTATCTGGTGTGCTAATTGTTCGATTCCCGGCAAGAGATTCCTCTATGAAGTCTCACACCTTCAACGAGTTCTTGATGTTGAGATCCAGTCCCACGTCTCCTAATTCTCCTCCGCCTTCACATCAACCAAGTTCTTGTCTGTGTGCTTGTTAGTCGTGCAAATCCTATTTTCACACTCACAGAATCTCTTACAGAAAGCAACATAATCCTTGATATTCTGAGCCTTGTCGAACGGAGTTGGGTAATACCAAGCTGCATTCTTCAACTCCGTTTCTATACTTTGTCAGTTCTTTCCTGACTCATGAACAGGAAAGTTAGGTAGCTTACTGTCAAACGTGATGGTATAGTATGATGCATCACCTTTCCAAGGACAATGTGTACTATGGTCTGTCTTAGAGAGCATAGCTTGTTTCACCGAGCTGAATCATCAGTATTCATTTTCTAGACCAGGTACAATGCCCAACTTACGATGGTGGAAACTGCATTGTTAGCAATATGTCAGATCTTCGAAAATTAGGTACGTACATAAACATTTCCTTCTACAACTTCCCAGTTATCCGTCTCGGCAATGGTGCGGCCGTTGATTGTTGCGGTGGCTTTTCCTGACGGCATTGTTGTTATTTTCTTGCGATGATGTTCGTAAAGAGTTATGATGATATTTTGATTGATGTTGAGTTTATGACAGTAAGATATATATTGGACAGTTTTAAGTGAGCTGCGAGATGGTTTGTAATAATGAGGGGTAGCTTGAATGGGTATTCCCCGCGTTTTGGATTAAGTAATCAACCTGATGCGGGGTTCATTATTTTCCGATCCGACTACATTCTTAGGTAGTTGTTGAGGACTTATTAGTGCTTGAACGTTCAATCTAGCCTTGAATAATGAATGTTATGAGCCTATTAGATTCGAGACGACATGGTACAAGTTTTAACCCTAGCTTAAATTGCATACAGCCTCGCAACCAGCCTTGTGAATTGCATTCACATACCTATTTGAGTCATTTCGTCGCGTCATGTGATGAGAAAATGACTGGCCCTGGAGATATGTTTCCTCAGTCATGGTGAAGAAATCACCGTCGTTCCAGTCATTCTATGTCCGTCCCACAGTCATTATAGATATATCTTGTCATAATGCGCCGCCGTACTCGCACTCTAGTCATTTCAGGGCTACGGCTCTTGATACATCCTATTCTACAGTCATTTCGGGGCTATTCAGTCATATTGGAGCCATTATGGCACCTTTCTACAGTCATTTGGCGTCTAGATAACCCATCAAAATGTAGTTAAGTAGCTCCGGATATCCCCCTTTGCTGTAGCTTTTCTTTTCATCAACGATACTTCTCAGACATAAGCAAACCTTACCAGATCCCACGCAAACACAACGATTTCGCCATCGAAGCCCTACTCAACCCGCTTCTTTCCTCATATCTACACAATTCAACTTCTCCAAACCTCATTATGTCTCAACATAACATCCCACACAGCAACACAGTTCGATACGTCAACAACCAAAACGTCATTCCTCGACCCATCGACCCTAGATCTGCAGAGGAAAAACGCCTGAGACAAGCCGAACGAGACCCCAAATTTGTCGACGCCATAGCTCCTCAGTGTAGCCCACCCCCGGAGTTTCTTTCAAACGATGCATTCAGAATCTTCTCCGAAGGATGGTGGAAATGTACATATGCCGGATGTCCCGTTGGTGCGCACGATCTCGGCGAAAAATTCTGTCCAATCTTCGTCAGCGATGGTAAATATCTGCCGGATGGACGGAAAGAGGGAAAACGAGACCCAATAGAACTTCAGGAGGGTTGGTGGTGTTGTCCTAACAAGAAATGCGAAATGAGATCTAGACGTCCATTAGATGAAGAAAAGCGCACGTGTGGATGTGAGGACAACTATGGAAGGGATGCATTGATTAAGGAACGTGAGGAGATGCGTCCTACATCCTCGTCAGAGAATAATGTCGAGAAATGGATTGCGCAGTTGCCTGATCTGTCAGCGGAGGAGGAAATTGACGTCATGGAAGGAGGGTTAGAACCGACGAGTTCGGGTCCAGTGAAATTACTTTCGTTGAGGCTTCCTAGAAAACTTGGCGTATTGGAATTGTCGCTAAGAGATAAGCCTTCTGGCTCGAAGTGACCGTGGTTGGGCGCAGGGCGTAAGGATTTCTTTTGTTTTGAGATATTTGGGTTTTGAGATCAGGCTAGAGGGATTTAATTGGATAATTATGCGAGATTTTGAGTCAATAGGTAGACTTACCATGAAAATTTAGATTACATTATGATATTTTCCGAACATTTGGAAAATTTCATAAGAATAGAATGTTCAAGATCTATTCCCACACTGAGATTTCCGCAGATGTGAATGTACCTTTTACTCTTGAACAATGGAATGTGCTTGCTTCTCAATGTCTGAGTATAGCTGGGACAATCATACAGTCTTGAAATGCGATGTCTGATTGAGATTTGGAGATTGTGTGTCGATCGTTAGACTTGAAGCCATACTTTGTTGGATCTCATCGCAGTTTTATGAAATGACAATCGAAGTTTTCGGAATTGTAGTTGGATATTGAAGCTTTAATAATCAATTTAATTTCGTACAATGAACCTCTAAAGATTCATTAGGCTTGGGACATTGAAACTTCAATCGTTAATGTAAATTTGTACATTGGAACCTCATTCATCAATTCAAATTGGTAAACTGGGGTTTAAATCATCAAGCTAGTTTGCTGCACTGAAATAACTTGCTTTATATCTCAACTGGGCGAAATATACTACAACAAGTTTATAAATCTATTTGAGCCCTTGCCTACTAACACGGAAACAGTCAGATAGATCAAGCAGCAAACGTAGAAGGGCATCCCAAATCGTGCTCAGCCAAGTCTGTCAGATTGACCGCACTCGTATTCCTATAGCCTAGACTAATCAAATTGTTCCATAACATTTCCAGAATCTCAAAGTATCTTTCCCTGGACCAAAAATTGGCCAGCCAAAATTCTTCACCGAGGCAACATATTAGAATTGGAACATACGAAGTCTGTTCCATTGATGGAAGTCTCTCCTGTATATCTTTGACGAGCTGCAAGCCTGAGCTCTCTGATTGGAGTTCCCTTTGAATAGTTGTAAGATTCTCCACTTGAAAAAGCCGACGGCCGAGAAGGATTATTTCCGGTCAATTCGATATAGCGAATTCAGCGAGATACCGAAAGGTGTGGCAGATGCCTCCATGCTGAAATTTTCGGCGTTCTTGCTCTGCATTTCGAAGCCTCTGAATCCCGTAGGTTATCTCGCTAACTTTTACAGAAACCAAAAGAATGATCGGCATCTATTGATAATGATCGATAACCTTAGCAATCTCCAAGTCCCCGTCCCGAGTACTTCTGAGTCCTGAATCATTAGCGAACCACCTTCATTCGAACGTTTAACTGTCATGTTTCGATTCACGCGTAGCAATTGGTATTGTGACCGGTGTGATCACTGCATTGCTACATGGTGAAAAGTCTTCTTCCAACCAATTTTGAAAGTATTTTGATTGCCAAGACGCACCTTCGGTGTTTTACCTGAGTTTGACATGAACAGGATCTCGCTCAGTCCTTTGCAGATGGATACCTTCTGACATGCTAGATGCCAATAGTATACCCTTAAACATCCGGGTTTCTCAGAGACGGAGATATTCAAAAATTCGTTTGTCCGAACCGTAGATCCCCTCGTTCCTTTCTTTTCATCTTATCATTCTACCTTGGTAGGTCTTCGGAGGGGTAAAAACTAGCCGCAATTGATCAATGGCGCAATCTTTCATTCCCTTAGATATGGGTATGAATAGAGATATGTAATTATCCTAAGGATGCTTTCGCAAATAAAGATGAAGGGATGATCCATTTGATTTTATTGAATTGGAATCATTCTTTTATATGTATAATTGTATTCAAGTGGAGCCGAGCCCGGTTGAGAAATGCGGGGCAAATTCCGCTGCCCGGCTATCTGCAAAGTAGTGGGTGGGATATTTTCCCACAGTTGCTCTTATGCGTTTCGACATGTCAAAACAACGACTTCCACGCCCTTTAAAGACACTGTGGCGATAGTTTTATCTTTGAATAGAGAAAGATTCTTGGTTTCGAAATTGCCAGTCTTTTTAAACGGTGCCATTTTCCCACTCTTCGCTGTACATACACACATACCTACATACATATTTCCAGTCAATAAAAATGGATTCGAAGCAATTTAAAGAGGCGGCGACGTCGGCCATTGATGAGAGTAGGTCATTATTCTCCCGCCTGAAGTACTACATACTAACCAGCGTAGTCATTCAATATTATGATAATATTCATGAGCGAAGAGTAGTTTCAAATGTTGAACCTGGTTACCTGAAGAAAATTCTTCCAGATGGTCCACCACAAGAGGGTGAATCATGGGCAGAGATCCAGAAAGACATTGAAACTAAAATTATGCCTGGTCTGACACATTGGTGAGTCTCACGTCTATCTTTGAGCCTCAAGATGGACACTGATGTATCAAGGCAATCACCTAATTTTATGGCTTTCTTCCCTGCATCATCTACCTACCCTGGAATGCTCGGAGAGTTATACTCGGCAGCTTTGACTGCTCCTGCTTTCAATTGGATCTGTTCCCCCGCTATAACTGAATTGGAGACTGTTGTAATGGACTGGCTGGCCAAGCTTCTCAATCTCCCAGACTGTTATTTGTCTTCGACTCACGGTGGTGGTGTCATCCAAGGATCAGCCTCGGAAGCTATCGTTACCGTTATGGTCGCTGCTCGCGATAAATACCTTCGTGAAACCACTGCAGGTTTATCGGGTGTTAAACTCGAGGATGCGATCGCATATAAGAGGAGTAAGCTAGTTGCACTAGGAAGCACAGAGGCACACAGCTCCACGCAGAAAGCAGCGCAAATAGCGGGTGTTAGGTTTCGATCAATTCCAGTACTCGCGTCTAATGATTTCGCCATGACGGGTGATGATCTAGAGAAAGTATTGAAAGAATGCAAAGCTCAAGGATTGGAACCTTTCTATCTAACTTCGACTTTGGGAACAACAACTACATGCGCAGTTGATGACTTCGCATCTATCGCAACAGTACTTTCAAAATACGCACCTCCAGATGTTGCAGGCGAGATCTGGGTTCACGTTGATGCTGCTTATGCAGGTGCCGCTTTGGTCTGCCCAGAATACCATCATTTAACATCCTCTTTCCAACATTTCCATTCGTTCGATATGAACATGCACAAATGGCTTCTGACAAATTTCGACGCTTCTTGTCTGTATGTCAAGAAACGCAAAGATTTGATCGACGCACTCTCCATAACACCAAGTTATCTTCGCAACGAGTTTTCGGAGAGCGGACTCGTAACCGACTATCGGGACTGGCAAATTCCTCTCGGAAGACGCTTCCGAAGCTTGAAGATTTGGTTTGTCCTTAGAACCTACGGAGTCAAGGGCTTACAAGAACATATTCGAAGACACGTGAAGCTCGGGGAATTCCTCGTCAGTCTGCTCGAGACGCGAGAAGATCTATTCAACATCGTTACAGGACCCAGTTTCGCCCTCACGGTTCTGAATATTGTTCCTAAATCCACGGATGCGGGGGCGGAAGCACAGAATAGTCTCACGAAAGAGGTATACGAGCTGATCAATAAGAGAGGCGAGATCTATCTCACAGCCGGTGTGGTGGGAGGTGCATATGTAATCCGAGTCGTGAGCGCGAATCCCAAGGCAGAGGAAAGTTTTGTTCGGAAAGCTTTTGAGATTTTAGTCGATACGACTGAGGAGGTGCGGGATGGAAAAGCGAGCAAACGGGGAACTCTCAATGGGGTTGTTATGAATGGGAAGGCGGAGGGTGTGGGGGAAGTGGCGGTTGTCAATGGGAATGGATTGCCAAACTAGAGCTAGACGGAAAGAATGGGGATAAAAGGTGGCGGAAGTAGATACCCTACGCAAAGGGATTATGACTTGCTCTGCGTGAGATCTTGTAGATTTATGAGAATGCAGATATTACATAGAAGATATTTTAGATCATTCCACTTTTCAAAGCTGTGTGTCGGGACTTGGAAGAGGGTTTCGGATTCGGTGACTGCATATATGTCTTCTCAGCATCATGGTAACACGTTTCCAGAATTATTAACTTCAAAATTGTCTCACAAGTTCACAACACACCTAAATTCGCTCTAGAATTGGGGAACAAACAAGCCGAGTAAATTTCTAACATGTAGAAGTCATCTCAACATTTCCAACTAGCACACACTCACAAAAGTGATAATGATGAGAAGAAATAGACAAATCATCATCGAGTGGATAATCTTTTCTTGATACATAATTATACATTTCAACTAATTTTTAAATTCATCCTCCTCATGGGAATCTTCCCATTTCGAACGCTCGTCGAAATCTATCTTCCTAACCAAACGATCTTTATCAACCGACACATCCGACTTCACCCTCTTGACCAACTTATCCAGATCAAATTTTTCCGACGAAAGTTGGGTTATCTCTTTCAGATCAGCTTGAAGCAGCTGCATTCTTTCAAGACGTCGTGGCTCTCTGTCTTGCCATCTTTGCTGTGATTTCTCATGCGATCTTTCCCTTCTCAGTCGTCTAATCTCTTCTCTATCTGATATATCTACCCCAGTGCTGAGGATATTTGGATTTTTCTCTTCCTCAATTATCTCGCCTTCTTCGTTTAGCTTTTTAGGCATCTTTTGTTTGATCCAATCCTCATTTCCAGGGAATGATAAACCTTCTGCAATATATTCTTCATCTGGAACGATTTTGATGATTCGGATGTTAGATTTTCCACGGCGAAGAACAAGCATTGAACCATCAATGATGTAGTGATGAGTATCCGAGTTTTTCCATGTTTTGATCGGGGTAAAAACTAAAGCATCATCCTTGCCTACATATCCCAAAGGCCTGGATCCACCAACATAAAGTCCGGAGGCACCGCACAAACGATTAGCTTCGGAAGCTGTGGCACACAGGCCAGCGGCGACGACAATTCTTGCAATACTTCGAGTCATGACAAATGAACGTGGTAGTTTAAGATCTGATTTTGGTCTGTTAGATGCGTTGATATTGCCTGTTTTTGTTTCGCTAGATGTTAGTGTGCCTTCGACGCTCTCCAAATCAC